TTTTCCAAACCTTCCAGTTGCATCTCTTTGACCTGGTGTGCTTATCTCTGTGCTCAACCATGATGTTAAGTGTCAATGTTTGGAACTGCATTTCACCAAGTCTTTCTTTCTCATTGGCTATTGTTAGAATCAAGGCTTGAGCAACATCAAATATGAAATGAAATGAGAGGATGAAAGACAGGAACATGTGGCTGTCCCAGGAAGACTCAGCAGATTAAGCAAATGCACAGGCCTAGCAGAGCTATTGCTCTAGGAATGAGCATGGGGGTGAGGATGGAAGGGAGAACTAAGACCAAGGACGAACAGAGGGAAAAAGTACAGGCAGGATACGGATGCCATCAAATTGTTGTGGCAAGGTGCACAGCTAGTGTTCCAGCTCTTGACTGGGAATGTACCGACTGGCACACGAAGAGTCGGAGAACAGCCTTTATTCCTCCAGCAGGCTCACCGCACCTAATGTTACAGCTGTCTTCTGATCTTCTAGTCCCCCCCCCCTTGTTCTCCTCCTGCTTTTATACCCTTGGTAGGGCTCAAAAAGCGTCCAATCAACTACAAGCTTTAACATCCAATCAACATCAAGTTTTAACATCCAATCAGCAACAAGCTTTAACATCCAATCAACAACAGTGGGATTCAAAAATTACCCAATCAGGATCACGCAAGCAACGGGGCCAGAAGCAGGCGGTGGCACCTGGCTTGGGGGCATTCCAGTGCGGGAAGGGTGGGGCGGGTGGCTCCACTGCAGCAGGGGCCCAGCAGCGTGCCCTCCAACTGGCCATGCGCAGGTGCTGGCCCACAGAGATGTGGAGCAATGGGGAGGCAGCAAGTGGCCGCTCCAGGCGACCGACGTTTTCCATGTCAAAATTAGATACAAAGACAGCTCAGGGTCTTAGACACCAATGCAAACAGAACACAAGGAATAAAACTAATGAAACAAATACGTGGTCAGAAACGCAGTGGAAACTTAAGGACCTGGTCCTGACAAATGGCAAAGCTTCAAGTGTCTAAACCTACGCAAGCATGTAGCCTGGCAGAGCCCAGGGTGGGAAGGCAACTGGCAAAAGACCGAATAGAGGGTGAGTTCAAATATTAAGAAAGGTGGTCGTGGTGGAGATCTGAAGGGCCGCAGTGTAAATAGCAACGTCGGGTACAAAAATCTGACCCTCAAAGACTCAGGGAACCTGCGTCAGACATCAACAAGTTGGAAATGCAGCCACTGCACACTGGCTCCCAGGGATCCCAAATCTACCCACTGAAAGGCTAATTCATGAGTCAGGTGTGCCCAAGCCTTAGATTTGATGCTGAAATGCTGAAACGATGTCCCTTCATGTAGTGTTTCCGAGAGTGAAAGTATAATTGGTGCAATTCAGAAAGTGGTGTGTGGTACAGCAGCCGCGAAGAGTTGAGGCAAGAGGTAGCAGGTAACCAGATCAGTGTCGGGGTGAACTGTCCCTGACAGCTCAAAGTCCTGAGAGAACCAGACTTTGCCACTGCCTCCCTCAGTTTCTTAAACAATTAGGGAAATTACTGTCATAAATATAGAAGAGAGCGACACACTCCTTTGTTTCTATGCCTTTCCTTTCCAATTTGGGAGTTACGTGCACAGGTGGGGAAAGTGTAGGTAGATGTCTCGCACACAACTCTTGGCTTCTTTGCCAGCATCTCTCTGCCTTGTTTTACCCTCCTTGGCTAAAGTTCTCTGTGTCTGGCTCACGGAGCACTGTGAACATTGGTTCAAGAAAGTAACTGGAGAAACTCTTACCTGGTTGAGAGTGGCTCACTGTCCGAAAACCAAGCTGCCTGTTTTAGGGAGAAATATCTTCATCTGTTACTGAAATAGCAAAAATCAGTAGCTATTCAAAGCAGCTTTTGCTTGTTAAAATGTTCTCTACAGGTGAGTTCGGGGTGGAGAAATAAAATGAGTGTTGGTATGAACTGCATGTTCACATGCCCCAAAATTTGTATGTTGAAGCCCTAACCCCAATATTTGGAGATGGAGACTTGGGGAGGTGATTAGGTTTTGATGAGGTCACGAAAGTGGGACCCCTGTGAGAGGATTAGTGTCCTTCTAAGGAGAGAAAAGAGACCAGAGCTCGCTCTCTCTGCCAGGTGAGGAAGATGGCCACCTGAAAGCTAGGAAGAGAGCCCTCACCAGGAACCAGATATGCCGGCACCTTGATCTTGGACTTCCAGCCCCCAGAACTATAAGAAATAAACATCTGTTGTTTAAGCCACACAGTCTATTTTATTTTGCTATAGTAGCCCAAGCTAATACATATACATGCATGTGTATATAGACTGCTGGCAAACACTTGTCTTGGTCTCCAGAAAAGCTGATCAAAGAAAGAATGAAAGCAGGCCCTGCCAAGCAGTGAGGACTCTAATTAAATTCTGTAGGTGTGTGGTAATGTGCCCAGGGAGGAAGTTCCAGATGTGCACAGCTGTCTTGCAATCCCTCCACTTCCCTCTCCAACTTCCCGGCCTGTCTAGAGGAATGTCCTCTGGAGTGGACCTAGCTGGTGATTAGAAGTGAAGGCTGTGAGTGACAGGTGTGATGGACTGGATTGTGCCCCTCCCACATTCATAACCCATGTGAGGACACAGCAAGAAGACAGCCCCCTGGGGGCCAAAGAAAGAGGCCTCAGGAAAAAACAAATCTGTCAACACCTTGATCTTAGGCTTCCAGCTTCCAGAATGGCGAGAAATAAATATCTGCTGTTTAAGCCACCAAGTCTATGGTATGGTATTAAATATTTTGTCATGGCAGCCCTAGTAGACTAAAACAACACGTCAGGGTCCTTCACCCTTGTAGCACCTTGTAACACAGTGCCTAGGACTTACCAAAGTTTTCAAATATTCCAAGACCTGAACCAAAAAAGAAGAAAACTCCAAATAAAAAGAAATTGACATATAATTAAATGTTTACAAAACAACGAGTCAATGATAACTCATATGGTTATATTGCTAGATGCTTTATTCTTAACAGGATTCAAAGCGATAAAAGAAACATTTTCAAAAATTGTAACAAAACAAAAACATTTCACGTGGGGCAAATTTTAATACGTTTGATGTGATATGAGCCAAAGGTCTCCAAAACTAGAGTGCCCAGAGGCTGCGAGGGCCCTGGAGCAGGGCCAGAGAAGACCAGGAGCAGAAGCTCCATGGCATCCATTCCTTCACATCAGTTCATGAACTGAGCCCCTTCCTCAAGGCGACAGAAGGACAGCTGTGTTGTCTTAGGTGATCCACATGGGGTGAGGACAGTGACAGCAGACGCCAGCTTAGTTCTACCGGGCCAGAACTCAGAGCCAAGTTGGCATCCTGCACTTCCCAACTCCTCCACTAGGGGCAGTGCGGAGAAAAAAAACCACCATCTACCCCTGAGTTGGAAGTATAGCCTAGGGTGCTCAAGTGAAATTTTCTTTGAAAAGTAGGGTTTTATCTTTAAAATGATGATGCATTTCATTTTCTTCCCCATTATATTTCATATTTATTTTGATAGGAAAGTAATTTTGAAAACTTTTACCATTAGAAAATTTGATACTCCAAGGTCAGCCATGTTTATGTTATTCACCCCACCCCGGACCCCAGAGGTGTGGCGTCACAGTGTGAAACACAGGGACATATAGGAACACCCAAAGCCTGCACCCATCATCCTGCCTCCCACTCGCAGTCAGCTTTCCCTGGCTGGATGACATCACACTAACTTGCCTTCCAACTAGGAGGCCGCCATCTTTCTGTTCAACCATCCATTTATTCAGCCTTCCTCTCTAATCCCCAGATATGCCAGTCCCCTGCCTGCTGGTCACAGTGCCTGCCTCGTTCCCCATCCCCTTCCATCCAAACACCTCCCCTTCTTTGGGATCCAGCTGAGGTCCCCCACCTCACCTGTCATCCTCTGGCCTCTTCATCATAGAGTCATCTTTTCCCTCCTTCAAAATGTGAAGGTGTTTCAGTCCCAACCTCAGGTCTAGCAGCTGATCTACAGCAACCTTGTATTTCATTCTGGTTATTTTGTAGACATACAACTTGTCTCCCATACTAGCCTCTAAGCGGTAGTTAGCACCATCGTTTGTTACTTTTTTTTTTTTTGAGACAGAGTCTCACTTTGTTGCCCAGGCTAGAGTGAGTGCCATGGCGTCAGCCTAGCTCACAGCAACCTCAAACTCCTGGGCTCAAGCGATTCTGCTGCCTCAGCCTCCCAAGTAGCTGGGACTACAGGCACGCACCACCATGCCCGGCTAATTTTTTCTATATATATTAGTTGGCCAATTAATTTCTTTCTGTTTATAGTAGAGACCGGGTCTCGCTCTTGCTCAGGCTGGTTTCGAACTCCTGACCTTGAGCAATTCGCCCGCCTCGGCCTCCCAGAGAGCTAGGATTACAGGCGTGAGCCACCGCGCCCGGCCCGTTTGTTACTTTTTTTCTTTTTATCCTGGCAGAAAAGGCCACCGAAAAGAACGAACAGTAAATGGCTCATGAATTCTTCTTTTCCTTTATGACGTATTGATTAATCTAAGTCAGCTTCCAGCCCCACTGAAGGATCCTCGCCCTGCATTCTTCTCACTGCCACCAATGACCTTCTCTCCCCTGTCTCTTGACTCCTTAGGACATAAAATACTGGGCGATACGTTGTAAGATACAAACTTTTAATGGGAAAATGCACAGAGGCCAACAGTCTCTCCCTTTACTTTTGGCAAGGTGCCTTTCTTCCTTCACAGGATTGGTGTTGGTTTGTAATTCAGTATCTGTGTATGGTATTACATGACTGCCTGTTTTGCTCACTAGACTGTAAACTCTCTGAGGGCAAGAAAGGACCCGTGGCTGTGTTTGCTCCCCCATAGTATCCTAAGCATAACATAAAGCCCAGCCCTTATTAGGTGCTTAATACACGTGTCAAATGAATGGAGAGTCCACCCAAGGGACTTGGGCAGGTCTTTATATTCTGTTTCTACAAGTAAAAATGACAACAACAAAAAATGACCCTCTGGCTCTTCCAGACGACAAAAGATGTACAGACAGCAGATGAACCTCACCTCCCTGGACCCCCCACTGCAGCTCCGTGTCGAGGCCAGCTGGGTCCAGTTCCACCTGGAGATCAACCGCCACGGGCTCTACTCCCGGTCCAGTCCCACGGTCAGCAAACTGCTGCACGACATGAAGCACTTCCCCACCATCAGCGCCGGTGAGGTTCCTGGGCTCGGGCGGGATGGACTGACTTTCTCCCACCGAGGCTCAGTCCGGGCTCCAGGGTGGACCCTGACACCTGAGAGACAGAAGAAGAAGAACATAGATGTTGATCTTTTTCCCTTTGAAGAAGAGCTTAGGACCATAATCTCATCATGACCCCATAAGAGAGGCATAAGGAGGTGTTCCGTACACTTAAAGAAAGGCAACCTTCTCTCTTATACAAATGACCTTATGGCATGGACGTTATCATTGCCATTTTACAGATGGGGAAAACTGAGACTCAGAGAGGTTAAGTAACTTGGTCAAGCACCCAGGGGTGGAGCTGGGATCCAAACGCAGGCCTGCTGATTCCAAGTCCGTGCTCTCAAGCCCCGCGAGTCTAAGTGACACAGAAAATTATTAGCGCAGACAAAACTAGACTCAGTCTCCCAGCCAGGTGTTGCCAGAGTATCCACTGAAGGGCTAGAGAGTGTGGGGCCTGGGATGGACCAGGGCGGGAGGCTGCAGCCCTCTGGGGACCCTGGAGATCCCCTACAGAGTGGTCAAGGGCCCCAGGCTACATCAGACTCCCATCTGGTGGCCAGAGCCAGAGCCAAGGGTCCCCCCTGTGCTGGGCTCTCCCAGGAACACGGCTAAAAGTTCTCACCGCTCCTCTCCTTTTTTGCAGATTACAGCCAAGACGAGAAAGCATTGCTTGGGGCGTGTGACTGCACCCAGAGTAAGTGACCCGGCCCACCTCCCTCCAGCCCCCTCACCAGCACAGCGGTGTGAGCCCAGCATCCAGTGGGGACCGGGGCCACGAGTTGAAGGAGCGTGGCTCTCCCCCTGCCTAGCCCCTGAGAACTCGCCACTTCCCCCCAGCCACCTGCAGAAAGCAAAGGCATTACAGAGGAAAGCTCGCTCCTGCAGGACCCCGCCGGTCAGCACGTGGTCCAGGGGCGGCAGCACCAGCGCCCCTGGGGAGCCCGTTAGAAAGGCAGCACCCCAGTCTCCATGCTGAGTTTTCTGAATCAGAATCTGGATTGCAGCAAAATCCTCAAGTGATTGGAGGTTTTTTTTTAAATTTAAGAAGCAATTGTCCAGGACAATGGCTCACAAAGCTGCCCGCTTATTAGAATCGCCTGGGGAGCTTTCAAAAGCTGGCAACTGCCTGGCTCGCCTCGGGTTTGATTCACGTGCAGGGGGGGAGAGGCCAGACCATGTTTAACTGCCCAGGTGATGGCAACGCACAAGGGGTTGGGGTAAATTTTTTTTTTTGAGACAGAGCTCATCTTTGTTGTCAGGGCTAGGGGTGAGCTGCCATGGCATTCAGCTAGCTACAGCAACCTCAAACTCCCGGGGGCTAAGTGATCCTCTGCCTCGCTCGAGTAGCTGGGGATCAGGGCATGTGCACCGCCCAGCTTAGTTTTTTTCTGTATTTATTTAGCGGCCCAATTTCTTGTCGTTTATGGTAGGACGGGTTTCGCTATTGCTCAGGCTGGTTTTGGAACTTCCTGACCTCGAGCAATCGCGGCTCGCGCGTTCAGGGGAGAGCTAGGGATTAAGATGTGAGCCGCACGGGCCCGCTGGGCATGATTAATAGAATAACAGTGGGAGTTGGAAGGGCCGCAGGAGCGTCCCTCAGCAAGCTGGGAGCTGGTTAGGCGGATTCTGTTGATGTGTTTGTTTCCCCAGCCTTCTTCTCTGTTGTGTTCTTGAGCTTCCTTCACCTTCGTTATGCGAGCACACGTCAGACTTCTGTTTTTTTTTTTTTTTTTTTTTTTTTTTTGGAGAGCCGGAGATCCAAGAGACCAAGCTTATTATAAGGACCCGGGGGCTTCCCTCTGTACTTAGCACCTTGCCATATTGACCAACATTAATTACAACAGGAAGGAGAGAGGGCATGTTTTAACCTCCGTGGGTTTACAGCAGAAGGCAAGAGCAGGAGGGTGGGGAGGGGAGTGCCCCGGAGCAGAGTTTAAGGGAGCAGCCCCCACTGCACCAGAGGGGCCCTCATTCACCAAACGCTCGGCCCAGCCCTGGTGTATAGCCTTAAATAGGAAAAGACACAGGAAAACAAACTAGTCTAACATAACATCATAGGTGGCATACTCCAGAAACTACAAGGGCGTAGTTGAAACACGAAGAGAAAGGGGTTAATTCTTCTTAGGAAAACATTCTGCGGGGTTTTCAGTAAGCGTCTCTCTGGGGCAAATTGTAATGTTTGCCCTTTTCCCACACCGGTTGGCCCTGGACACAATGTCCATGGCCTGACACCCTGGAGTTTACCCTGCAGGCTTTGAAGAGCTAATCCTAGTCTTTAGGGTCTGATTGAACAAGAGAAAAGGGCAGAAAGCGGCTGGGTTTGTTGAACAAACACAGTCACGCACCTGAACTGGGGCCCAAGTGCGTTGTTAACTCACCTTCTGCCCCTCCGCAGTTGTGAAACCCAGCGGGGTCCACCTCAAGCTGGTGCTGAGGTTCTCGGATTTCGGGAAGGCCATGTTCAAACCCATGAGGTAAGTGACTGCCTTCCTCACCTCTACCTCCCAGGTGTGGCAGCCCTGGGGAATTCTGGCCAAAAAGGAATAAGACCTAAAACCTTTATGCCAGTCATTTTGGAGACTCTCTTTTGGACAATCTGCCCAAACATATAAGTGTTTTTGGTGATAATAATAATAAAAAAATAGCAAGAGCAAATTTTTATCAGGCCCTTACTACCATGCAACCATGCCAAGCACTTTACATGAATTGTGTGTTTGGATCGTGGACAACCTTATCAGCCAAGCACTGTTATAATGTCCCCTTTACAGGTGAAGACATTGAGGCCACAAGAGGCCAGATCTTCCCAATCTCCCAGCTGCAAACACTGGGCCCAGGACTCTGATTGCTAAATTCACACTTAGCAGGCAGCTGATTGCTAAATTCACACTCTACCACTATAGTCAATCCCTACTTTTCCCCCAGGGCTGGCACCCTCCTCTTTTTGACATCAATAAGTTGATAGACCTCTATATGACAATACTTGTTTTGATTGAAAACCTGGACAATGAAGAAAAGACTATTATGAAGCCAATTACATGTTTACATTGATTTATATTTTATTCATAAAAGCAATGGCATGCCTTTAGAATTTGTAGTGCATATATACGGGCGAAATATTATGTATTTAGTCTATAGCCATAGCTTGGTGTGTGCATGGGTTTCTGGCCCCCAAAGGGTCTGCAGCCCACAGGTTGGGGTGTCCTGAAGTAGAGCCCCCGTGCCTTCACCCAGTGGCATGTTAGAGGAAATGGCCCCAAGAGGGGCTCCCGTTACTCAAGTCTTGCTTCCCTCCAGCAGGTGCTGCCTCCAGTGGAATCCACTTAGACCAACTTAGATTCCAAACCTCCAGCCAATCAAGGAGAGGTGTATCGAAGGCCCAGTAGCTGATTCTAATAGTGGGGCCTCTTGGAATGAGTTCTGAATAGTCTTAGTCCCTGAACTGCTTTGGCAAAAGCACCCCCATAAAGATGAGTTTGGAGTAGATCAGCTGTATGTTGGAGCCTCTTGGGGAGCCTTAAAAACTCCTGATGACTGAGTCTCGCCCTCAAGGACTCCAGTAGACTTGTTCTGGGGGATCCACCTCCCCATCCCCACCCCCAAATCCGCCACCCCACCCCCATCTTCTCAAGGCCCAGGCAACCTTGAGAACCCCTCCTGTGTAAAGAAATTCCCCATTTTTTGTTATGTGAAAATCCAAAACCCTAGTTGTTTGCTCAATTTAAATATAAAACTTTTCAGAAATGTACATAAAACAATGGAATGCCTGCTAATATTTAATTTATTAATTTAAAAAATCCCATCATATAATATAATATATAAATTTAGAAATACTTCTCTCCCGCCTCCCCATACCTTTTACTTGTCAAAAATGTTTGGCCTTGGTCTTCATCATCACTAGAGTCAAGTTTGGGATCAATATTAAGTTCTTTCTCCACTCCCCTCCCTTACCACCACCAACAACCTGTTTTAACCAGTCCCGTCAAACAATAAAACCGGCACAGAGTGAAGTCATTTCAGGTTAATGAACCTGTCCCAAAGAAAATAAAGCGAATTGAGAGGGGGGCCCTGTCATCTTGAACAACTATGCTAGGGCTTCAATATGAAGAGACTCCTTTTCCAAGGGACAATTTTGGGAAGGACCTCATATTCAGGCATATAGAGTACTAAAATAAATAAATGAATAAATTGTGTTCCTTTTAAATGAGAGTTATAGCAGTGAGCACACGCAGTGATTAGTGGAAGTTCCAAGTAGATATGTCACTTTTTGGGGTGACGCTCAGCTGAACACAAGAGCCATCAGCGAGGTTACAGCCATTATAGAGTTTTAAATTATTGCTCAAGCTAGTCATGCACGCTTAATGTATAGTCATAAGAGAGCACCCGTTAGAGAGAGGCGACATAAGCAACGCTGATGTAGAAACGTGAGACATTATAGTGAGAATCATAAAAGTAATGACAAATCTGCGAATTCATCACAAATCACCAGATTCACAAATTGTATCCTCTGAGCAAACTTCTTATATGGCACGATCGGATGTCTCTAATTTTAGAAAACTGAAAGCTACTATGGAGTGGATGAACTCCACTTTCCCTCTTCATGTATCTGGGAGGAAAAACTACTAGAACCTGCAGTGTTGCCTTTGCAGAAAAATAAAATGTCATAAGTCACAGCTTAAAACCTCTTCTCTACCTGGCCGCTTAGAAACAAATACAGCCGTATCTCATTTCATTGCGCTTTGCACATACTGTCTTTTTTACGAACTGAAGGCTTGGGGTAAGTCAGTATGAAGCAAGTCTACTGGTGCCATTTTTCCAACAGCCTGTGCTCACTTTGTATCCCTCTGTCACATTTTGGTAGTTCTCACAATATTTCTAATATTTTGATTACTATGTCTGTTATGTTGCCATTGTAATTGTCTTGGGGCACCACGAACTGCTCCCATATAAGACAACAAATTTGATAAATACTGTGTGTGTTCTGACTGCTCCACCCTCTCTCTCCCTCTCCTCGGGTCTACCTATTTTCTGAGACACAGTAATATTGAAAGTAGGCCAATTAATAACTCTACAATGGCCTGAGTGTTCAAATGAAAGGAAGAATCTCGTATGTCTCACTTTAAATCGAAAGGTAGAAATGATTATTAAGCTTAGTGAGGAAGACATGTAGAAAGCCAAGACAGGCTGAAAGCAAGACTTTACGTACTAAAGAGTTAGCCAAGTTGTGAGTGCAAAGGAAAAGTTCTTGAAGGAAGTTGAAAGCACTACTCCAGTGAACACACAAATGATAAGAAAGCTTTAAAACAGCCTTATTGCTGACATGGAGAAAGTTTAGTGGTCTGGATAGAAGATCAAACCAGCCATAACACTCCCTTGAGCCAAAGCCTAATCCAGAGCAAGGTCCTAACTCTCTTCAATTCTGTGCAGGCTGAGGGAGGTGAGGAAGCTTGCACAAGAGAATTTGAAAGCTAGCAAAGGTTAGTTCACGACATGTAAGGAAAGAAGCCATCTCTATAACATGAAAGTACAAGGTGAAGCAGCAAGTGCTGACGTAGAAGCCACAGCAAGTTATCCAGAAGATGTAGCCAAGATAATTGATGAAAGTGGCCACACTAAACAACAGATTTTCAGTGTAGATGAAACAGCCTTACATGGAAGAAGATGGCATCTAGGACTTTCATAGCTAAAGAGAAAAAAGGTCAATGCCTGGGTTCAAAACTACAAAGGACGGGCTGACACTCTAGTTAGGAGCAAATGCAGGTGGTAACTTAAGTTGAAGCCAATGCTCAATTGCCATTCTGAAAATCCTAGGGCCCTTAAGCATTATGTTAAATCTACTCTGCCTGTGCTCTAGAAATGACAACAATAAAGCCTGGATGTGGGTGACATCTGTTTACAGAATGGTTTAATGAATATGTTAAACCCACTGTTGAGACCTACTGCTCAGTAAAAAAAAAAAAAAAATTCCTTTCAAAGTGTTACTGCTCATTGAAAAGGCACCTGGTCACCCAAGAGCTCTGATGAAGATGTACAGGGAGATAAATGCTGTTTCATGTCTGCTAACACAACATACATTCTGCAGCCCATGGATCGAGGAGTAGTTTTGACTTTCAAATCTTAAAATTTAAAATCACTGTCAGAGGGTCATTCCTCTGGAGCTGGGCAAAGTCGATCGGAAACCCTTCTGGAAACAATTCACCATTCTAGATGTCCTTAAGGACATTCATGATTCATGGGAGGAGGTAAAAAAATATCAACATTAAAAGACGTTGAATCCAGCCCTCGTGGATGACTTTGAGGGATTCAAGACTTCAGGGAAGGAAGTTGACTGCAGATGTAGTAGAAATAGCAAGAGAACAGAACTAGAAGTGGAGCCTGAAGATGCGAGTGAATTGCTGCAATCTTATGAATCAAACGTGAATGGATGAGGTGTTGCTTCTTATGGGTGAGCAAAGAAAGTGGTTTATCGAGATGGAATCTACTCCTTGGGGAAAATGCTGTGAACACTGTTGACATGACAACAAAGGGTTTAGAATATTCCATAAACTTAGCTGACAAAGCAGCAGCAGAATTTGAGAGAAGTGACTCCAATTTTGAAAGGAGTTCTACTCTTTGTAAAATGTTATCAAACAGCATCGCGTGCTACTGAGAAATCTTTCATGAAAGGAAGAGTCAATCAATGTGGCAAATTGTATTGTTGTCACAGTAAGAAATTGCTACAGTCGCCCCAACCTTCAGCATCCACCACCCTGATCAGTCAACCATCAACATTGAGGCAAGACCCTCCACCAGGAAAAAGATTACGACTTGCTGACGAGTACGACTTTAGCAATAAAAGTATTTTTTTAATTGAACTATGTACAGTTCGTAGACATAATGCTATTGCACACTTAATAGACTGAGTATAGTGTAAGCATAACTTTTATATGCATTGGGGAAACCAAAATATTTGCATGACTCACTTTATTGAAGTGATCTGGAACCAAACCCACAATACTCTCCAAGTTATGGCTGCCCCAAAATTGTTCAAATTAATCAGCTTTTTCCCCCAAAATACAACACAAAAGCATCAAACATTCCATGAGAAGAGCAATTTAACCTATTCATATGCCATAACGCAAATTTTCCTCTACATTTTTATAAAATTTAGCCCCAAATCAGATGTGCCATTTTAAAATATAGTTCTTCAAAAATCACGGCTTTTGTTTTGTTTTGTTTATTTATTTATTTTTATTTCGGCATATTATGGGGGTACAGATTTTAAGGTTTCAATAAATGCCCATTTATTGAAATGGGCACAAGTCTGAGTCTCCAGCATGCCCATCCCCCAGATGGTGCACATCTCACTCATTATATATGTGTATACCCGCCCCCCTCCCCCCTCCCACCTGCCCAATACCCTATTACTGTAGTACCTATGTGTCCACTTAGGTGCTGTTCAGTTAATACCAATTTGCTGGTGAGTATATGTAGTGCTTGTTTTTCCATTCTTGGGAAACTTCACTTAATAGTATGGGTTCCAGCTCTAACCAGGAAAATATAAGATGTGCTATGTCACCATTGTTTCTTAGAGCTGAATAGTACTCCATGGTATACATATACCACATTTTATTAATCCATTCTTGGATTGATGGGCACTTTGGCTGTTTCCACAGCCTTGCAATTATGAATTGTGCTGCTATAAACATTCAAGTGCAGGTGTCTTTTTTGTAGAGTGTCATTGGATCTTTTGGGTAGATGCCCAGCAATGGGATTACTGGATCAAATGGTAGATTCACTTATATCGCTTTAAGGTATCTCCATATTGCTTTCCACAGAGGTTGAACTAGTTTGCAGTCCCACCAGCAGTGTAGGAGTGTTCCTCTCTCTCCGCAACCACGCCAGCATTTATTGTTTTGAGACTTTTTGATAAAGGCCATTCTCACTGGGGTTAAGTGATATCTCATTGTGGTTTTGATTTGCATTTCCCTGATGATTAGAGATGTTGAGCATTTCTTCATATGTTTGTTGGCCATTCTTCTGTCTTCTTTAGAAAAGTTTCTGTTCATGTCCTTTGCCCACTTTTTAATAGGGTTATTTGATTTTTTCTTCCTGATTTTCGTGAGTTCTAAGTATATTCTAGTTATCAGTCCCTTATCGGATGCATAGGATGCAAAAATTTTCTCCCATTCTGTAGGTTGTCTGTTTACTTTCATGACTATTTCTTTGCCTGTGCAGAAGCTTTGTAGTTTGATCATGTCCCATTTATTTATTTTTGTTGCTGCTGAAAAATCACGGCTTTTTTTTAAAATGAGTAATTTAAAGCGAACGGTATTTTTTTTCCTAATTAAAGAGAGAAAGCATACATTTACCTTTGGAAAATATACATTGTGAACATAAAGGTTATATTTTTAAAATGTAACATACACAGTAAACAATGTACAATGAGAAGTACATCAAAGTATGAGAAGCAATGATGTAAAGTAGAATTATTTTCAGATTTAAAATCCCTTCTATGTCATATAAAAATGGGAAAATGGTGTTTCAGAAAACCCTGAAGGGTGTCTGGTAGATTATGCATTCCTCTGGGTGGAATCTGAAAGTTAGCGCGAGATCGGGGACAGGGACTGTCCGTGCTGGCCGCGACGTGCGGTGATGATTCAGGGAGGTGGCGCTGCCAGCGTGGCTGCACCTTTTAAGACAGACTCTCCACTCTTGGCAGCACCTCCCTGTGGTTTCCAGGCCCCGCTTGTGCCTTTTGGCAAAGTGCATATCGCCACTGCCTCGGTTGCCAGTGCTGCTTATTTAGAGCTTTCCACGACATTACGTTTATTTCCATTTAAATCGCTTCTGCAGCCACCTGAACAGTCAATCCCCCACGGTAACATCACTCAAAGGTCGTCATTCTTCCAGGTTTGCTAGTGTCAAGGCAAAGTCAGCCTAGAGGCCAGAAGTGGCATCGCTGTGCTCTCAGTGATTGGGGGAGGGGGGGCGATTTCCCAAGCACGTGCACCCGCAGGGCCCGTCCCACTCAGGCAGGCTGGCGCTTTTCAGGAATCCATTAGAGAGTTTTGTAAATGTATATAAATCAATATCCTCTACACCAGCCTCCCTCAGCTCCGTGGCTGGGCCCACTTTGCTGACCCAAATGTGTTTCTCTGAGCGGCTGGTCCCATGTACTTCTCCCAAATCACCCCAAGACTCAGAAATGCCCTGTTCTGCAAGACCCCAGTGAAAGTAAACTGCATTTCTGGGGCACTTTTCTATTACCAAGTCCCAGCTCCCACCCCACCTTTCTTACTCCTTGGGCATCTGGGTCTGCCCTGCCTCTGCTTCTGCTAGCCAGTCCTCCCTCTCTCTGCTGTTCGTAACTGCAGAAGGATGTCTGTATTCCTTCCCTTTCAACTGCTGGGTTTTGAAAAGAATCAGTCACTGTCACCAAAGCATCTGAAGCAGGAAACTGGGTACCGGTGGTGCCACAGGACAACGTCCTGCAAGAAGCCTCGCTCCTCCCACGTTGCATGTCCTCTCCCAGCCAGGGCGGCCACCGGCCAGTCCTGATCTGTCATTCCATCACCTGTGTGTCTCGTGAAAAGCACAAAAGCGTGCTTTCCTTTCTCGCTGGCCGTGCTTCTCGGCTCTCAGGCTCCCAGCTGAAGTCTGAGTCCAGGGCGTGATTCCTTCCTTCCTTCCAGACAGCAGCGAGACGAGGAGACACCCGAGGACTTCTTCTATTTCATTGACTTCCAGAGGCACAACGCCGAGATCGCGGCTTTCCATCTGGACAGGTAGAATACGGCCCCACGGAGATGCATCGACTCCAGGGGCCCTGGGAGGGGGCGCTGGGCAGACCCTCGGGTGGGACCTCCCTGGTATGTCCCCCTGCTGGCTTTTCATCTTCTTTACACCTCGGGGTGGTGCCTTCGAAGCCAGCATGTCTTAGGCAACCCCATGGATTGCAAAACACGAGGTCTTTTAATATAATGAAAATAACAACTTACCAAGAACACGAAGCTTGCCATGCTGCTCAGGGCAATGGCTCTAGTTTCCTGATCTGAAAATGAACAGAATACGCCCTCTTTCATCCAAGGAGTCGCACGGTTATGATATCAGAAGGTGAAAGCACATGCCTAAACTTCCTGGCTCCTAATTGCTGAGCGTGGTCTGTGGACGAGTATCATGGGCTCCACCTAGAAGCTTTTTAGAAATGAGAGATCTCGGCTTCATGCCAGACCCTCTGGATTTGAACATTTGAACAGGGTCCCCAGGTGACTCGCACAGATGTGAAAGGATGAGAAGCGCTGAGCACGAACACAGCTGGGATGGTGGTGAGGTTTGCTCGGGAGGCTTGATGGAAGGAACAAGGATTCCTTTTCCACCACCGTGGTTTTCCTGGCCACATCAGCTCGACACTGCAGAGACCCCCTCAGCGGCCACCCTCCTGGAACCCCAGCCAATGTCTACTGTGCGCTGGGCTGGGGACAAGACCTCCCTGGCCTGGGGACGAGACCTCTCCTCCCTGCTCCCCGACAGTCCCACAGATCTGAACAGAGCTTCCTCTCTTTCAGGATTCTGGACTTCAGGCGGGTGCCGCCAACAGTGGGCAGGCTAGTCAACGTCACCAAGGAAATCCTAGAGGTCACCAAGAATGAAATCCTGCAGAGCGTCTTCTTTGTCTCTCCAGGTAGAGTACGGGCCCGAGCCGTAGTCTGGGTCTGAGTCCATGGTGAGCCGTTACATTCAGCGTGGTCTGCCCCTGCCACCAGCGCCATCCATCACCGGGACGGGCGTTCCCTGTTGTCAGACACTCCCACCCTGGTCTGCTTGAGCGTAACACAAGGTGATCTGAGGACAGGAAAAGGCGGTGTGGGAGATGCTAACAGTCTGGGTGGCATCGAACCTGCAACGTCAGCCTCCCTGGATCCAGGTGTTATCCATCCAGGGTAGCAACGACTATTCTAATCATGCAGATAGGATGCAGGGAGGCTGGATCCCACACTTTCTCTGCTCTGAGACATTTGCAAATAGGTACCGGTGTGCTCAGTTTAGTAGCATCCACGAGCCTGCGCTTCTGGGAAAGTCAACGTTTCCTTCTTCTTCTGCCTTTTCCCAGGCTAGGAGCTCAGGGTTTCCCTTCCCTCCTAGTGGATTTCCTGGGAAGGAAAATGGCCTGCCTCCCGGGCCCTCCTCTTACGCCCTGTCCTCTCTCCCCCCCGGTCCTCCAGCTAGCAACGTGTGCTTCTTCGCCAAGTGTCCCTACATGTGCAAGACCGAGTATGCTGTCTGCGGCAACCCGCACCTGCTGGAGGGCTCCCTCTCCGCCTTCCTGCCGTCCCTCAACCTGGCCCCCAGGCTGTCTGTGCCCAACCCCTGGATCCGCTCCTACTCACTGGCAGGAAAAGAGGAGTGAGTTTGGCCGCCCGCCACAACGCCACGCCCCAGTCCTGCAGTCCGGTCTTTGAGAGTAGCCACAGCCCCTGACTCAGGGACTTGTAGCCAGCTTGGCTTTCCAACCCCAAAAGCTGCCTCAATCCTCCTTTGCCCCATTTCACATTGAACCTAGGACCAGCAGGCCTGGGTCTGTTCTCTCCTCCTTTGGTTCATTTTTTCAGCTATAAAGAGCCGTTTATGTACCCAACACTAGGTGCTAGGAGACACAGAAAGAAAAGACACAGGCTCTCCCCTCAAGAAGCTCCTTGGTCTGGTGGGGTGGACAGACAAGTAGCCAGGCCATGAACACACAGTGCAATACTTGCTACAGCAGAGAAGCACATGGGAGCCCATGGCAGGGACACCGGGGTCCCCTGAGCAAGACCTTTGGTCCAAGGACATCACTGCTGTGTCCCCAGGACCTAGCACACTCCTGGGCACGTGACAGGTATCCCACATTAGTTGACCGAGTCCATCCACCAAGCCACTGTGATCAGAGTGGGAGGAGAAGTAACTGGGAGGAATCTCTGGAGCACACGAGAGATGCTAAGGGACTTTGTGAAGGCTGGGAAGAGCCCGGCGAATGAAAAGGGGCACCGGGTAGGCAGAGGAGCACATGAGAAGTGACAGAGGACAGCCTGTGGGGGACTATGAGGGGTGCAGGAGCCCTGGAAGGCAGGGTCCAAGAGGCTCAGCAAGAGGGGCTGTGGTGGAAACAGTGGGGGTCCCTGCACCAACCTTTCCCCCTCCTACCCCGTCATCTCCCCTCTGGCATCAGTTTAGACCCAACAGGGTGAAAGGCCCCAGTACCTCCTCTCTATGTGGAATATTCAGCCTCACGTGTCCTTACCCGGGGCCCTCATGAGTGCGGAGAAGCTGCCACCAGCCCAGGGCAGGATGGGGGAGGCAGGGATCTGCGGGTGGGGAGGCCCCCAACACCTTGCCGTCTTGGCTTTTCCAGCCCCAGGACTTCTTCTCCCCCTCAGGTGGGAGGTCAATCCCCTGTACTGCGACACGGTGAGACAGATCTACCCCTACAACAGCAGCAACCGGCTCCTCAACGTCATCGACATGGCCATCTTCGACTTCTTGATAGGTAGGTCCACGCTCAGGGCCTCTGGCAGGAGTGGGCTCTGCCGTGTGGCTGGGGTTCCCCGTGACCTTGGGCAGGAAGTTACAGCCTGGCCCATGAGGATGAATAGAAGGGGCGGAGGTCCAAGAGGCCAGAAGCTAACAGGCCCCCCGTCTCTTCAAAGAACTGGGAGAAGAGGAAGGGTCGTCACCCGTGGGGCAGGTGTAACACCCTGCCATGGGCCCAGGTGGGCGTCAGATTGGAAGCCACGTGTTCCCTTCACCAGGTAGGGAGGGAAGAAAGTATAGGACAGGCAAAGGTGTGGCAGGGAGGGCCACAGGCCCATGAGACTGGTCATCCCACCCCCAGGCCCACTGGACCAGGAAAGGCTGGGAGCAGAGCGGATGGTCGTGAAGTGGCCGTTGCACTCGCAGTGCTCAGATCCGAAGCAAAGCAGACAGCGGCTCGTCACCATTCCCTTCAGGAAGTCACCCTGTGTCTGTTCATTACACCAGGCCTCAGCTGAGGGTCTCTGGCTGAGGAAAGCCAACACCAGTGTGAACAAGACGTGCAAAGGCACATGTGTGCAATTAGAACCCCTGGCCGGGGGCTGGGAACAGGGCCAGGGGTGAGAGCCTTGGATTTGCAAACAGTCCGTTTGGGCTCTGCTTGTTTAGCTTCCTTCTCCCTCTCCGGCCCCCTGGGGAAGTGACAGCTTGTGGCCTAGACTCAGATTCCTGCCCCTGACCTGTTCACAGGCCTCCATTCCCTGGAGAGAACTGGGAGGTCAGGAGCCTCTGGCCCTGGCTCTGATTTCTTCCCTCCTCTACAGGAAACATGGACCGTCACCATTATGAGATGTTCACCAAATTTGGGGACGACGGGTTCCTTATTCACCTTGACAACGCCAGAGGGTGAGTGTTCCCGCCTGTGTCCCAACACACCCCTCCTGGGAAACAGAGGCCTTGAGGACTTCCTCCACGGCCACGTGCCCTTCTCCTGCCTGCCCTACACTTTCCATTTCCTTCTTTCTCCGGATTTTTGCTAAGTACCACGTGATCCTCCTCCAGCCTGAGAGCGCGTGTTGCCCTCTAGTGAAATAGGTTTTCTGTAACCCCATTACTAGATGATACATGCAGCTGCCACGACCCCTGGCATTTTACCCCAACCACTGATTCACAAAAGGCCAAGGTGGAGAAGAGAGAAAGCATTGAGGGGTGAGAAAGACGCTGCTTGCCACCCATGAAAGTCTGTTTCTTCTCCTAGGTTCGGACGACACTCCCATGACGAAATCTCCATCCTCTCGCCTCTCTCCCAGTGCTGCATGTAAGTTTTCATACAACGGGTGACAAGGGCAAGTAACAGCTGTGACACTTCATCCTGCTTGCAACCAAGTTCTGAAGGTCTTAATTTTCACTGGTCTAGGACTTGGGTGCGTAGAATGACATGAATTACCTCATTTCTAAACAGTCATGCACTGCCTAATGACATTTTGGTCCACGGACTGCATAAATGACAATGGTCCCATAAGATTACAATACCATCTTCTTACTGAACCTTTCCTGTGTTCCATGTTGCTTACCACTGTGTTACAGTTGCCTACAGTATTCAGTACAGTCCCCTGCCGTACAGGTTTGGCCCAGGAGCAACAGGCTGCTCCATGTAGCCCAGGGACAGAGTAGGCTATGCCACCTAGGCAAGCCTTGTATAAGTACACTCTGTGATGTTCAGACAATGATGAAATCCCCTGATGACACATTCCCTGAATGTACCCCGACGTCAAGCAGCACATGACTGTACTACAACTATCAATTTTTTTTTGAGACAGAGTCTCACTTTGTTGCCCAGGCTAGAGTGAGTGCTGTGGTGTCAGCCTAGCTCACAGCAACCTCAATCTCCTGGGCTCAGGCAATCCTACTGCCTCAGCCTCCCGAGTAGCTGGGACTCCAGGCATGCGCCACCATGCGCGCTAATTTTTTTTTGTATATATATTTTTAGTTGGTCAATTAATTTCTATTTTTAGTAGAGATGGGGGTCTCACTCTTGCTCAGGCTGGTTTCGAACTCCTGACCTCGAGCGATCTGCCCGCCTTGGCCTCCCAGAGTGCTAGGGTTACAGCGTGAGCCACCGCGCCCCGCCAACTATCAAATTTTCTCCAACATGCAGTCTTTTTAATCCTTCAGCATAGGATGAATTAGGATCCAATCTTTCAAACCCTGCCAATTTTGTTAACCCACTCAAAGAATCACCTGCTTTTGAGGAGCCCAATGGTCTTTGATATTACTAATCAGACCTCTGCTTTGCCCAGTACTCATGTAAATTCACAAATATTACTATTTGATCACCATCTTCACAAAATCCCGATCAAAGTCCCATAACCCTGTGTCAGATCGTAAGAAAGCGCTAAGGCCTTTGCCTGGCCACCATTCCTCTAGAGAACGTCTAACCTACTTCCATACCTCTCTGGTGTTTTAGCCAGGCTTGTAAAATTGTCCACCTGCTCAGCTGCAGTATCCAGAGCTAATTATAAATATGTGATTCACATTAGCAAAACCATCTCCTTTGTTTCCAGCTGGAAAACTCACAGCTGAGCAAAATACTCTTCAACTTCTTAGGTTAATTTAAACATGCTTCCCGTCTTGCCTCCCTTCCAGGCCTCCTGAGCAGGACAGGATAAGCAAAAGTCAGACAACTAAGCTGCTTGCACATCTGAGTCCACGTCAGATGCCTGCACAAAAAGAAATTGAAATCCTGAAGTCAAGATTGATCCCATCCCATTTTCATCCCTCCGATTTTAGAATCTGACACAGAGAAACATTATAAAGTGAGCAAGAAACAACTAGGAGGCTGGCAGTACCGAGGGCTTTTGAGATGGCAGACAGCATCATCACTTCACCTACTAGAAAGTTCTCCCATTAGCTTTAAATCTCCTTGAAAAATCCTAAGCGTCATTTTGGTTTGATTGCTTTGGCAAAGTCAGAGCAAGTGCATACGGCCCAGCAGCACCGTGTGTGGCGGCACAATTACTAGAGTACAAGTGGCAACACAGGCTCTTGATCAAAAGTTGATTGGGCAAAGGACTGCAAAGTGCCAGATGTCACCTCTTATTCATTCCCTTTTTACCTGGTTTTCATTAAAACGTGTTTGAAAAGACACTGGGGGCTGGGGGGGGGGCGAGAGAATGCTCTAAGAATATTAGCTACAATAGCTGTTTGGCAAGGAAGTTCGGGCAAGTTATTTTCTTTATGTCTACTTAATGTGGTTCCTATGACTTTATCTTTTCAGGATAAAAAGGAAAACACTTTTGCACCTAGAGTTGCTGGCGCAGGCCGACTATAAACTCAGTGACGTGATGCGGGAGTCGCTGCTAGAAGACCGGCTGACCCCCGTCCTCACAGAACCCCACCTCCTTGCCCTGGATCGGAGACTCCAAATCATCCTAAGGACAGTGGAGAGGTGCATAGAAGTCCACGGAGAGCAGAGTGTCATAGCCCCCGACCCTGGCCAGGCTAACTTGACAAACTAAGGACTACAAGAGTCAATTTTCACAAAATACACCTGGAGCCAGCGGCAGTAGCCTCCAGAATGCAGACCACTGCTTCCTCACTTCCACCTATTAATGCTGGAGGCCGAGTCATGAGCTCAGGAAAAAGGAAGGGCATTTCTGAAACAGCAAGTGGGATCCACTGATCGTGTGATCTCTACTCCTTGGTGCATTGCTTCTATCGTGAATTGTCTCGGCTCTGTTTTTCCCAGAGAGCACTGGCTTCATCAAGGCCACAGACTATCTCCTGAGCACACTGGAAAATGTGGATATGGGTCAGCCTTGGAAGGTTTGGAAACCTTGTTCTCAGGAGAGAGTATTAACTGTAACAAGTCAAATAAAAGGACATCAAGTGGATACCTAACTGTCCTCCAGATCCTTATTATATCTACAGGTAAAGGATAAAACATCTGGCCTATCATAAGTAGACTAAAAAATCTGCAAATGGTAACTCTCAAACTGGTTCAAATTACACTTCACACTTTTCTTACTTATATTCCAGTCACTGGCCCAATCTGAATACAATAATCCCTACTGCCTGGCCCTAGAGTAACTTCTCAGAAATATTATTACAATAGGTAAAAATAAAATAGGGATTTGCTCAAAATATCAGAAAAAGGGTGTTTCACTTTGAAGAGATTAAGCATCAAGTGAAATAACATCAAGTGTGTCAAACTTAGCACCACTAACAACAGAAGACATTTTGATGAAGGGAAAAGAGGGGAAAGCCTCAAAGGTCCGGAAGGCACCGGGACAGGCCTGGCAGGTACACAAGCCTGGAGCAAGGCAGAAAAAGGGCTGGGGCCTACCACAGCCCTTAAAATCCTAGGAATTGTCCCCCACCTGCCCCCAAGACGAGCTAGGGGCTACCTGGAGAGGTAAGGCCTTCCAGATGCCCTTCCCCGTGGCTGCTGGACAAAATCAAGTTTCTTATTCAAGCCTTCCTTAAAAGTCAAGTATGGGCCGGGCGCAGTGGCTCATGCCTGTAATCTTAGCACTCTGGGAGGCCAAGGCGGGCGACTGCTCGAGGTCAGGAGTTCGAAACCAGCCTGAGCAAGAGCGAGACCCTGTCTTTACTATAAATAGAAATTAATTGGCCAACTAATATATATATATAAATTAGCCGGGCATGGTGGCACATGCCTGTAGTCCCAGCTACTCAGGAGGCTGAGGCAGTAGGATTGCTTGAGCCAGGAGTTTGAGGTTGCTGTGAGCTAGGCTGATGCCACGGCACTCACTCTAACCTGGACAACAAAGTGAAACTCTGTCTCAAAAAAAAAAAAAAAATTAAAAAAAAAATAAAAAATAAGTATGGCAGGGATTCCTTGTCTTCTCACCTTCTCCCTACTGACTCACTGACAGGTGAAACTCCTTTAATAGGCTTTGTTTCTTACTCCATAATTAATTGAAAATGCAAATAACAGGAATGTACTCATTCTATGGAGGGATTAGTCAGTTAACAAGTAAAAATGCCTGATTTCATCAGATCAACTTTTCTGATAAAGCCTAAGACTCAAATACTAGAAGTGTCAGAGGAATAAAAAGGAGTTGTCATTAAACAAAGTACAAGGCCAAGAATTACAAATGTCATCCAAGATTTCTCCAGTGTGTCCAAAGATATCCCCAACGGGATAACAACAGGCACTTCTGATCCCCGAGGTACCCTCACATTACTGGCACGCCGCCCTGAATGTGTCTCCATGACAACATCACTACCATTCAGAGTTCTTACACGTGTGAGGTGCTTTACCCATGTCACAGAATCAGCACACGGGCTTCCAATGGTACCAACAGGTATCACCCCACCCTCCAATCCCTCCAATGTGCATGGAAGAAAACTAAGACCGAGAGATATTAACTAAAATCACGTAACTGAATGATTTAGACCTATTCCAAAGTGTTCTTTCCACTATAATGCAAGAATTCAATATCTCACCCAATTTATGAAGTTCTATTTGTTTGCTTTAAAAAAAATCAACTCATTAACACAGGAACCTTAATTCCAGAGACCTCCTTAACTGAGCGGGCCCTGCTGCAGCACAGGGCTTCCCACTTCATCAACTGTTTCTCCTATGAGAGACTAGGAAATCCCACACACAGGAATGGGAGGGAAATATTCAAAGATGTTCAAAGAATAGCACAAAATGGTTTGGGACTCCCAGTCGCAGAGCCTCAGGGAGGTAAGCTACAGCTCCAACTCAAACCAGCCACCTCTATGACAACCGACTGGTTTTTAAATGGCCTATATATAACTCTGCTGTACTTTACAAACTGAAAGTAATAGAACTGAATTTGATCATGGCATAGACTACGTACCTTATGACTCACTTATCTTTAACATTTCATTTTTACCTAATAACAAAATTAAGACTCTCATTAGTCAAAAATATCAGAAAACATTCTATTCTCTTAACTATCAAATCCTTCCAACTTGTTCATTTTGAACCATTGTTCAATTTCCCATGAAATAAAAAGTCTCCTGATTCTATGTGAAAACTTTAATTACTACTGACAGAAAACTAAAAACTGAAAAGGGAACCCATACAGTATGATAAACTGGTAGGGAGAAGGTTTGGAGGAATTAGTTTTAGCCTTCCTGAAAATCAGGAAAATTTGAGTTTGAAGACAGCAAAAAATAGTCAATTCTCTTTTTAAGTGGTAGTTTTATGTTCTATAGTCATCATGAGCACTGAATTGGCAAATACCTAACCACTGTTTCTAGGGGAAATATATGGTTTAGGATCCTGGGAGTCTCTGGTCATATTTTCATCAACTGATTTATAGTCTTATTTTATGTGTGTTATGTGTTGTGTTAAAGACAGCTTATTTTATGTTGATTCACTAACACTGCACTCATGGCCAATAGTATTGTAACCCATGCCTGAATGAAGCTTACCTAATATATGTATTTTCTACATAAGGCGTATAACAGCCTTCTCACACTTACCAGCGCTAGTCAGCACTTCAGCACTTCATGTGTGAAATCACCAACCAAAAGCACAAAAATGCAAAAAATGTGGCACTAAAAATACTAAGAAAAGGACACTTATTCATAGTAAGAGTGCTGAACAAGAAGGCTAAGCATCCGCTTGTTCGACATCATTTGAAAACATGTATGTTGGGAGGCTCATATTTTTTCCTGCTCTGCTCATGTCTGCAAAAGCACTGAGACTATTGATTTTGGGCTGACAAATAAATTTTAGTAAGTAGGCAAATTTGCAAATACAGAATCCATAAATGAGGATCAACTGTTAACCAGTTCGAGATTATCAAAGATAAATAGGCTCTCCATCTAGTGGCGGCCTTTAAAATCACACAGCTACTAAGCAAAATTGGCAGAACTTTCACAAAATGAAAAAGCCATACTAGGCAGTTTTGATTTTAGGTGGGAACAAGACGAAGTCACAGCTCTGAACTTATGTCAAGAAACAAATTTTAACTGTGTATGTACACAACATTGCTGGTTTCTATGTAAAAATCTCAGAGCATAAGAAGGGAGAGATTTAAAGTTCCCCCTTTTAAATTCACACAGTTACAACCTTTACTGGTAGCTTTGGGGACAAATTAAATGGAACAATTTAGCCATTTCTCTTCCATACTGCTTGTTTGTTTGAGACAGAGTTTCACTCTGTTGCCCAGGCTAGAGTACCGTGGCATCAGCCTAGTTCACAGCAATCTCAAACTCCTGGGCTTAAGCAAACCTACTGCCTCAGCCTCCCGAGTAGCTGGGACTCCAGGCATGCACCACCATGCCAGGCTAATTTTTTCTATATATTTTTAGCTGGCCAATTAGTTTCTATTTTTTAGTAGAGACGGGGTCTCGCTTTTACTCAGGCTGGTTTCGAACTCCTGATCTTGAGCGATCTGCCCGCCTTAGCCTCCCAGAGTGCTAGGATTACAGGCGTGAGCCACCACGCCCGGCCAATTTCTCTTCCATACTGTGTTAAGCCACCTAAAAACATGACTATTTTATACAAGTATTTATTTTACTGCCAGGGCCTAACATAAGCATAAAAAGAGTTCAGCTATTAATTTGTGTTAGAGATAAAGCAGTTTTAAGAAAACAGACATGGTACTTCAGGTTTAAACGTCAACATTTAAGTCATTAAAAAATAACAAATGAGTCTATATGGCTACTATTTAGAGGAAGAATTAAACTATAACGAGGACAGCAACCCACAAAAATTTCTTTACTATATTCTGTTGTGACCCTAAAGGTTTCAACTCCAGCAGGTTCAGGGAAGGGATTACTGAAGCTGGACAAGTTGCACATGTTAAAGAATGTTCTTCTAGCATATAACATATCTCCAACTTCAATGGATGTGAAGAAATACCAATATATCTATGAATACAACTTGATCATCTCACTGCTCAGAAACCTAAGGAAAAAGCATCAGAAATAAGACTTTAATGGGTATATACAACCACAACGAGTAAGATGTGCAACATTTGGGGAATGGACACGCTTGAAGCTCTTACTCGAGGGGGGAGGGGGGCATGGGCAATATATATAACCTTAACACGTGTACCCCTATAATATGCTAAAATTAAAAAAAAAGTAAAAAAAAGAAAAAAGACTTTATATATGCAAATAGAAATGTAAGTAGCTAGCTAAATGTATATTAAATTTAAAACAAAGAGTATGCTAATCCAGAAATGATGTTTCCCTATTAAGTCTGGGAAAGTCCCAAGGCCACAGAGCCAATCTGCCTTCAATAAAAAGGAAATGTTTGGCTTTTGATTGAATCTTTTCCTCCCAAGTCTCGGTAGATAAACCTACTACATCTCAATTACCCTTTAAACAGGTTTTGAGATCCATTCTTTGACAGCATGAACTGAAAAGCATTAAAAATAAACATATTACTCTTTCAAAACAGTGATCCTGTAATTCACTTTCCCTTTTCATTCTTGCCCACCAGAGTAAGAGACTCGAGGAAGGATAAAGGGAGAAAAGAAGAAAAGGAGAAAGGAAAGAAAAACTGATTCATTTAGGAATTTAAATTATTTCATCTCTTTTTATTACTTGACCTACCATTAAGACAATCTGTAACAAAAAGAATAGAGTATATTAGCACACACAGTATAATCAGACTGGTAACCTGAAAACAGTACAAAATGGTCCTTTGGCCATCTATACTTTCTAGAGCACATCTCATGAATTCACTTACCAAGCCCAAAAATAATGACTTCTAAAGCCCTATCAACTAAGACAAATTATGCCAATTGTGATTTCTCACATATTCTTAGATTGCACAAAGATAAAGCTTTAAATGTAGTAATTTTTAAATTTAGACTTATCTTAAAATTTCTTAGATTAAAAACTACAAAAGGGAGTTAAACAGCAAGCCAAATGATTT